GCTTCTTATTTCAACGTTGAAATAGAAAATAATCTAGATTACCTATTCTCAATCCAGTCTGATGTGTGCCACAAAAAGTAGCAGAACAATCTGTACATACTCTCTAGGGCATTATACCACAACTACAAAGAAAAAGTGAAATGTGCGCAACATACTTTTATGTCCTACTGAAAATATGAACTTTAAAGAAAATTTCCACAATCACATTTTATATAATAAAAATAGAATACACAATGATGTTAATAGCTATCACCAATAGAACTCTTATTTACCTTTGTATCTGTAACTATGTGTCTTTAACTACATTAGATATTGCTCTGAATGTCTTACTGCATTAACCCCATGAGCTACTACAACTACCAAAGACATGGTGCTTATATGGCAACTACGGAATTGCTGCAAGCTTTTAACAAACATCACAATGATACTGAGAACCTCAATTAGCCCTTCACTTCAAGGCTACAAGTGGGTTAAGAAAGTTAACCTTCAAAGCAGTTAGGTGGCCTGCCCTAAGTGGTTGCAAGACATGGCAAGAAGGCACCCACAGGCCTATCCCACTTCTTAACTGCCCTACAAACCAGTGCGTTTGTCATGTCTGAGAATCACTATTTCATTAGTCATGTCTGTATAATCTTCCCTTTATTTTATGTCAATACTTTCCCACATTTGGAATTGAAAATTGCCTGTGCTAACAACTTCTTATTAAAAGCAAATCAGGGGGCTTGAGGGTTAGCTCAGTTGTTTAAAGCACCTGCTTGGGCAAACTCAGTCAGGCGCGGGAGACCCTGATTCGATCCCCAGCTCCATACACAGCACCAGACCCGCCCTTAAGGCAGCCTGAGCCAGCAAAAAAAAAAAAAAAAAAAAAAAAATCTTCTCGAGTTTTACAGGAGGATCACTATGAGTCCAATCTACTATCCTAATCCCCTATCCTTACATTGCTATAGTTCATTTTGCTTGTATTTATTTATTTTTTTTTTAATTTTTTTGCAGAAATGTGGTTGAACTCAGACCCTTGCGCTTGCCAGGGAAGTGCTTATTCCACTGAGCCACCTCCCCGGCCCTATTTATTTTAAAGATATGCATATCACTATAGTGTCCAAACTGGCTAGGAATTCGTGGGGTCACCTCAGTCTCCCAAACAGCTGGGACTAGCAGAGTGTGCCTGTGTTCCCTTCTAATTCATTCTGAATGAAGAATGAAAAAAACTATAGCTCTCAGGACAATTGAGAAGGGCTGATTTCCTTATTTTTCCCTAATATATTATGACGCTAAACCTTGGAATGATAGAATATCCATTTTATGACTTTCTCTCCCTTTGTGTCTACATTTTCTTTCCCTTGTCCTAAGGGTGCTAGTTACTTTGGATTAAGGACTACCCTATTCCAGTATGACCTCATCTGAACCAACCTGCTGCAACTACTTCCAGTTAAGGCCTCGTGGTTAGGACTTCAACCAATGCTTTGGGGGTAGAAGGAAAACAATCCAACCCATAACACCTTCACTTCTAGAATATTTCACATCGATCAAAACAAAAGCATTGGGGCTGGAGAGATGGCTCAGTAGAATAAGCGCTTCCCTGGCAAGCACAAGGGCCTGAGTTTAATCCCCCGTTTGACAAAACAAAAAGAAAGAAAAAAAGCATAGTCTGATATCATTTATTTGAATTATGTTTTAATGTATTTTAAGAATTAAGAAGGTAGAACACATACCAAAAATAAATTTGTACATAGAAAACAGTGGAGCTTAATTCATATTCATTTTCTGACTTTTCTATAACTCAGAAAATCCACCTTTTTTTTTTTGGCACAACCGGGGATTGAACTCAGATCCTTGTGCCCGCCAGTCAAGCACTTATCCTACTGAGCCATCTCCGCAGTCCCTAAAATCCACCTTTTAAGATCAGTATTCCTTTTTTTTTTTTTTTTTGGTTGAACTGGGGATTGAACTCAGGCCCTTGCGCTTGACAGGGAAGCGCTTAGTCTGCTGAGCCATCTCCCCAGCCCCAATATTCCTCTCTTGTTAATGTTCTTATTTTCATGTTTGAGAAAAAACACAATTGTCTATTTTCTTTGTTTGTTAGCATAATCACAACCACTGACACAGGTCCCCACCCCAACTTATTACTTTCATTGTAGAGAGATATACTTTTCTGTTAAACATAAGTCAGTATGGTGTATAACTAAGGTGAAAATAACACTTATCCAGATATAAAAGGTTAAAAGACACAATTTCAGAGCTTCAAACTTTGGGCCAGCACTTACCTCTTCATCTGAGGTTATTGTTCTTGTTATTATTCTTCAGTTACTCCATCAAGCGCTCTATCAATTTATATTACTCATTTTCCACTAAAGCTTATAATAGCCTCCTTACTCTACGGGCAGTACTGAAAAAGCAACTGGTAATGAGCATAAGTGGTGGATATTTTCTAAATGCTTTCCAGGAATTTACATTTTCGTAACAAATTATTTGGATACCATGTCACAAGTACAACATACTTATATGTGTAAAATTAGAAAAAAACAGAACTTACATTAATTCTAAATGATGACTCAAATCATTATGGAGAAGAAAACCCAACATTTACTAAGGGACTATTAAGTAAAAAATCAGTCTATTTGGTAGACAATTTGTGTACTTTAATTCAATCATTTACACCCCTGGGTTAGGACCTTATATGCAGTAGTTTTTAATTACATGTAAGACAAGAGAGATGTAGCAAAGTATTTGCCTAGGACTGGTGAGATGACTCAGTGGTCTAAAGCACCTACTTAGAACAAGCTAAGCTAAGCAAAGCGCAGGGACCGAGGTACAATCCCCCAGCACCACATGCCAGCCAGCCCCACCCCCTGGTGGGCTGAGCTGGCCACACACACACACACACACACACACACATAAATAAAATTTAAAAAAAAAACAAAGTGGGGGCTGGAGAGATGGCTCAGTGGTCTAAAGCACCTACTTAGAACAATCTCAGCAAAGAACAGGGACCGCGGTTCAATCCCCCAGCACCACATGCCAGCCAGCCCCGCCCCCTGGTGGGCTGAGCTGACCACACACACACACACACACACATAAATAAATTTAAAAAAAAACAAAAACACCAAAGTATTTGCCTTACATTCCATGTTCTGACACTTGCTCTTTCAAAGTCACCTTCATAGTTTAAATCACCTTATTTATCCCTTTTCAAATAAATGTTTAAAAAGGTGTAGGGCCAGGGATATATTTCCGTGGCATAAGCACCTGCTTGGCAAGTGCAAGGTCCTGAGTTTGATCCCTGGTACCACCAAAAAAATAAAAATAAAAAGGTGTATATGTGGTTTTATAAACATGTCATGGTTGTGCTGATGTTGTTTACAATTTCCTTTATTTTCACTTGCTCCTTCCCAACTTCTATTACAGGTGAAGTGTTGCTGTGGCTTATATCTAAAGGTCCCCCCAAATCCCCAAGCATTCATATAAGTCTTTTGGGAGGTAGCTGTGAACGGGAAAGGTTAAAATTTTAAATAAGGGCCTTCCAAGAATGCCCATGGAAACTAGGCGGACACATCCGACCAGCCTGATAACTGAACATTTCGTCCTTTGTATAACTGAGAGCCCTGTGATGTAACCTGAAGTGTTTAAAACCCCACACCCTTAGCAACGCAAGGCGTCGCCCAACCTCCCAACACTAATGCACTACGTCTGCCTCTGCACTTTTCCCCTTGCTTTCCCTTTAAAAGCCCCAAAACGAAGGGCCGGCCAAACAGCTCAGCGGTTAAAGCGCAGAGGCCGGGGAGGGGATTCGATCCTGCGCTTGCCATGCAAATACAAAACAAAAAAGCCCCAAACGCTCACTGGCCTTTGCTCTTCAGGAGAAATGGCAGTCAAGCTCACTGGTGTAATGAACTATTTCCTTAATCTTGCCTGTACCATTTCTTCCCGTGTTTGGTCCGTTTTCTGTTAACAGCTGGGTCAAAGGTATGAGATACTAGATTATGGGTGTGATAAAGGTCTTAGTTCACTGGTAGTTGTGGATAAAGGAATTAATGAAATGGGAAGCCCCAATCTTGCACGCAGTTGGCATCAACCAGTAGACTGATAGCCTGAACGGAATGAGTAGGAAAGCTTTCTGTCTGCCATGTCATGGACTCTCTCCTCTTCCTGCTGTCCTGCCATCAGCCAACTATGAAGTGAAACCTCTACAAATTGTGAGCCAGAATAAACCTTCCCTGCTTTAATTTGTGGGCCTTGGGTACTCTGTCCAGCAACAAGAAAGTAACTAAGACAGGGACAGCAACATATGCCAGCTCCAAAATATGCCAATTTGGCATAACTATTTGCATCAGAGCTCAAAACACTTGAAAAACTGCGTCATGTTTCTCTAAACCTTCGTTTCACAGGATATAAATTTTTTTCACGGAAAATAACCTACTAAACCGGAAGGAAACATTCTTATGGCCACAGGCAAGAAAGAAGTCAAAGGAATTGCACACAAGCAGACCTTGGCGACACAGCCTCCCCACACTGTCCTGCTCCTCGCACTACAAAAGCATTTCTTTAGCCTTGCCACTCAGCGCCAGGTCCTTCTCCGAGCTCGAGTCGGTCGCACAAAACACCCTAAACGAACGTGTGTGCTTTTCTGCCGCGCAATCCGGCGGCCGAGCAAGGCTCCGGCGCTAGGTCCAGCTCTGCTACACGCCCTTGCACGCCAGGGCCCTGGGGGGGCGGGGGTAGGCTCGGACAGCACGGTCGCTAGGCCCGCTCCGAGGGCCGACACGCACAGCGACACGCACACCGACACGCGCACCGACGCGGAAGGCGCAGGCACCCGCGGCCCGCTCCAGCCCCGGCGGGGGTGCCCGGCCTCGCGCGCGCACGGCAGACCCCGGCGGGAGCCCGCGCGCCGCCCACGCGCCCCGAGGACGCGGAGCGCCGCGACGTCACGCGCCGGGCTGGGCGGGCGCGACCATTTTCCGCGCCTCCCGCAGTTGGCGAGGCCCCCCGCCGCCCCTCACCTTTCCGTCCGGGTGGAAAGGGAGGCTTGGCTCGTCGGCGACGGGCGGGAGGCGAGCGCCACCTGCCTCTTCGGCCGCCCCAGCCCCAAGCCCCGCGACACCGGCGGCATCGTAGTCCGGGAAGGGGTTGGCGAACGCCCGCTCCTCCATGTCCGCGTCCCCGCCCAGGTGCAGCCTCAGCCTCTTGGACATGGTCTCGCCCATGTCCGCGCGCTCCCACACGGCAGCACGGCGCGCGAAAGGGGACAAACTTCCTCGAGCGCTCCGCGTTCCGGTCGGGTGGCTCTCGGTCTGGCGCTGGGTGGCGTCCGGCGCTGGGTGGCGTCGGCCTCTTCCCGGGCTCCTCAAGGCGCCTGGGGCCGCGAGTCGGCGGGGCGGGTGCGGCCTCGAGCCGAGCAGCAGCCTCTGAGCGGGGCCGGGCTTCTGGCGAGCGGCGAGCACATCGGGGTGCAGCGGGCGCGGGCCGGGGGGATCCGTGCCCCGCGCCGGCCGGATCCGGACCAGGAGCTGCAGAGCCGGCC